GGTCTGGGGTCCCGGCTGCCAGCCCCTTGCCAGCCAGCATCCCGGCCACAGGCCCCGCTCAGCCCGCTGCAGGCCTAGGTGAACAGAACCCCAGGCTGGAAGCGGGCTGAGCAGGCTGGCGGCGTAAGATCAGCACTTTAATTTAATTTTAATTGAAGCTTCTTAAACATTTTGAAAACCTTGTTTACTTTACATACAACAATAGTTTAGTTATATAATATAGACTTATAGAGCGAGACCTTCTAAAAAACGTTAACATGTATTACCGGCATGCGAAACCTTAAATTAGAGTGAATAAATGAAGACTTGGCACACCACTTCTGAAAGGTTGCCGACCCCTGGTTTAGATCATTGTTGCAACCACTGTTATATATTTGCAGCAAATATTGTACAAAGGTTGTCGTGTAAGGTGTCTATGGAAAGGTTATGATTTGCGGATTATGATTATGCTATCTGTATGGGTGTATCATTTTTGTAGTTGACATTATGAATATTGGCTGTGTACTTGAATCTCAATGTGTTTTGATTCTAAGTAGCCTCAGTGAAGCATTTGGTCAGCTTCTTGAGAAAGGACTATTCTCAGGGCTAGTCTACACTACCCGCCCGGATCGGCAGGTAGAAATCGATCCCTCGGGGATCGATTTATCGCGTCTCATCTAGACGGATAAATCAATCCCCGAATCGACGCGCGTACTCCCACCTCGTCAGGAGGAGTAAGCGCCGCCGACGGGGGAGCCACGGCGGTCAATTTGCCGCCCTCACAGCGGGGTAAGTCGAATAGGATATGTCGGTATCTTAAATCGATCCCTCCCCCTAGTGTAGACCTAGCCTCAGTAAGTGCCCAGTCAAGAAACACTTAACTGATAATGGACTTTGGGAGATGCCAATCCACATCTGAGCTTTCCTGGGAACGTTCAAACTAACATGTAAACAATGGCGTCAGCCTGTAAAGAACTGAGTCATGCATGGACATGTGACTTGCCCATGTGACTCCAAACTCCATCTTGCTGCTGTAATTTCCACAGTAAGAATAAAGGGGTGTCCTTCCACATTTCAGAGGAGATAAAAGGCCTTGGAAACCCCTCCATCGTCTTCAATCCTGCTTCTTGCCTCTGGAGGAACCTTGCTACAAACGGAAGCTCTGAACAAAGGACTGAATGACCCATCCCAGCTGGGGATGTTCCAGAGACTTGATTTGAACCTGCAGTTTATTCTATCACTGCTACAAGCCTGAACCAAGACTTTGCCATTACTGTATGGAATTGATTCCATGTAAACAATTCTAGCTCTCATCTGTATTTCTTTCTGTTATGAATAAACCTTTGGATTTTAGATTCTAAGGATTGGCAACAGCGTGATTTGTGGGTAAGATCTGACTTGTATATTGGCCTGCGTCTGGGGCTTGGTCCTTTGGGATCAAGAGAACCTTTTTTTTTTCCTTTTACTGGGGTATTGGTTTTCATAACCATTCATCCCCGTAACGAGTGGCACTGGTGGTGATACTGGGAAACTGGAGTGTCTGAGGGAATTGCTGGTGTGATTTGTGGTTAGCCAGTGGGGTGAGACCGAAGTCCTCTCTGTCTGACTGGTTTGGTGCCTTGGTGTGCAAAGGACCCCAGCCTGGGGCTGTAACTGCCCTGCTCTGAGCAATTTGTCCTGAATTGACACTCTCAGAAGTGTCCTACCAAGGGCAGCATCGTTATAGCCCCCCATGCCCATATCACCCCTCTGCCCCCCATCATCCCCAGACCCTCATAGCCCCCCCAGGCCATCACCACACTGCCCCCCTGCATAGCTCCCCCAGGCCCACGTCACCCCCTGCCCGCACATTTTGCCCACACCCTCCCTGCCTAGGCTGACCAGACAGTGTGAAAACTCGGGACATTTTCATTTTCAGGGCGGGGTGGGGTGGGGTGGGGGGGGAGGGGATAAGACAAAGCCCCCAATATCAGACGTCTGGTCACCCGATCCCAGCCCCCCACGTGCCCGTCCGGCCTCCAGGGACTGATCTCCCGGCAGGGACAGGGATGAGCCCAGAGGGGGCAAAGGGCTGGTGCTCCCTGGGCTGCCCCTCGCCCGGATCAACTGGGGCTGCTACTCACGGGCTGCGGCTCCTCCCAAAGATGTTCTGCAAGGAAGCCAGAGTGGGGTCAGGGCAGGAGGGGGGCAGTGGGGAGCCTATCCCTGAACCAGCCCCCAGCATCCCCCTCTTCCCTCCCCATGGCACCCCCACTCCCCATGGCGCCCCCCACTCCCTCTGCCCCACTCCCCATGGCACCCACCACCCGCTACGGCATCCCCTGCTGGATCTAGTAGCCAGCCGTCTCCCCCGCCCCCAAGGTGGGACCGGTCAGCCTGGGGGTGAGGCCGCGGCTGCAGGAGGCTCAAGATGATGTTTATCACTATGGGGAAGCAAAAATGTAACAACAGCTGGGAGCTTTCCCAGGAGAGCCCCAGGGCTGGGCTAGCAGGGGCTGCAGGTCGGGAGTGAGGGGCACCGGCAGAGTTGGGGGGGGGCCCAGGGCTGGGTAGCAGGGGGCTGCGGGTTGGGAGTGAGGGGAACCAGGAGTGAGGGGGGAGCCCAGGGCCGGGCTAGCAGGGGCTGTGGGTCAGGAGTGGAGGGCACTGGTAGAGCTGTGGGGGGGGCCCAGGACCAGGGTTTAAGGTAACAGGGGGCTGCAGGTCAGGAGTGAGGGGCACCAGAAGTGAGGGGAGACCCCAGGGCCAGGCTAGCAGGGGCTGTGGGTCGGGAGTGGGGGGCACCAGCCGAGCTGGGGGGTCAGGGATCCCGAAGGTGCTCACACCCCTAAGCCATCCCTGCATGGAGCTGCCCCCCGCAGGCCCTGCTCTCTGACCCCCAAATCCCCCAGCGCTCCCTGGACTCACCATGCTGGGAGACGCAGACCAGCCCTGCCAGCCCAGCAGCAGCACCGATGCAAATGGCCCAAAGGGCACAAACCCGCATTGTGCTGGGGATTTGCATAAGCAATGGGAGGGGGGAACGAGACAGGAAGGAGCAGAATCTGCCCCCCCCCCCACGAGTCCCTTTCCTCCTGCCCCCTCCCGAGCCCCAGGATCTGGCCTGGGGCAATGGGGGAGGAAGAGGGAAAAGGTGCTGGAGGGGTCTGCGGGGGAGCTAGGGAGGCTGGTTCCTGCTCCCTGATGAGGCTCACGGGGGATCTGACGTCTTGCCAGCTGCCAAGCTGGGGTGGCAGGGCCGAGCCCCCTCCCCCAGGGGCCGAGCCCCCAGGGAGGAACCTACAAACAAACAGCCAAGCCCTTTCTACTAATCAGAGTTTATTTCACCTTCATGTCATAGGGCGGGGGGAAGATCAGAGACGCCAGCAGCTTCCGGGGGGGAGGGGGGAGAATCAGCAGGGGAGGGGCGGAGAGGGGGGCACCAGAGGCAGGGGAGGGGCCAGGATGTTGGGTGGAGCAGGCACAGCTACAAAGGGGTGAGGACAGAAATATCCCTGAGGGCAGAGCCTGAGTCTGGGGCAAATACTCCTGCCCTATGGGGGGCAGCAAATGGGAGGTGGCTGCTGAGACCCCCTGTCCAGGCTCAGGCCGGGGGAGCCCCTTTATCCAGCCCCGGGGCCCCCTGGCATCCTGCGCTGGGCTCCGGGCAGCCTTTGAAGGGGCCAAGGTTGGGGGGCAGGGCCCATCCAGCCCCGGGTGTTTGACGTGTGCTGAGTTGTTGGCACCCGCCGGCGGGTTCCTGGCACAGCTGGGGGCGGGCGCCCCTAGCCCCGGCAGCTGGGCCCCTCGCAGGCCTGGAGCTTGATCAGCCGCTGGTTCAAAGCCTCCAGCAGGGTGGGGTCCACGCTCCGGGCCACGTTGTGGAGCTGGTGGGGGTCGGCGGTCAGGTTGTACAGCTCCACAAAGGCCTGCAAGAGCCACACTGGTCAGTGGGGAGCCCCCACCCCACCAGGCCCGCCTAGAACACCTGGCAAACCAGGGGGCTCAACGAGCCAACGGCCTCCCTGGGGGCAGGAACCAGGACACCCTCGGAGCCCCAGATCCCCCGCCAGCCCTGGGATAGGCCCAGCCCTGCCCGGCTCCCCCAACAGGGGACAGGCCCAGCCCTGCCCGGCTCCCCCCTCACCTCGCCAGGGGGCAGAACCAGCCCTGCCCGGCTCCCCGCCCCGGGGGACAGGCCCAGGCCCATGCAGCCTAGGGGGCTGTGGCCGGGGGCACAGGGCTGGCTGCAGCGCTGGGCGCCCGGCTCACCTGGCGGTCAGCGAACTCGCAGTACTGCAGGCTGTGGGGGTGCAGGGCTCGGACGCAGGCGTAGGTGTTGTTGAAGGCGTCTTCGCACACGCAGTCGGGGAAGCATTGCTGGGGGCCGGGGATCACCGTCAGCGCGTTACAGCCTCTCCCGCCCCCGCTGACCGCCCCAGTCCCCCCGCGTCCCCGACACCTCCTTCACCACAGACCTGCCTGCCACTGATATCCCATCCCCCGGCCTTCTGACCACCACTCCACAGCGGGGGGCCCAGCCCCCCCAGCCAGCTGGGCTGAGCTGTGACAGGCCATCCTTGCGGGGTGCAAGCCCTCCCCCCAGTGTCCCGCAGCCAGCGGGGCCCCCAGTCCATGTATTAGGGGCTGGGAGCCAGCTCTCGGCACAAGGGACTAGCGAGCCCTGGAGAAGGAGGAGGGAGGGGTGATGGGAGCCGGAGGGGGGAGGGAAGGTGCCTGAGGGGGCACCCTGGGCGCTGGGGTTCTGTGCAGGGCCAGGCAGGGTGCCAACAGGCGAGAGAGTGCGGGGGGGGGGGGGGGGGGAATGGGATTTGTGGGGAAATCAGCTGCTTTGCATGGCACCACAGGCGGGGGGAGGGGAGGCCTAGCCCTGACTGCTCCCACGCGGGCCCTGGCAGCAATGGGCTTGGCCTGCACAGACTCACCGATACCCCTGGGCCCAGGGCTGGGCAGGCTGGGTCCCTGTCCGGGTGCCCCTCCCCTGTGTACTGCACCAGGAAATCCGCCCGCCACGTGCTGGGCTGCGCCGGCGTCACCTGGGGCCAAGCACACGGTGGTTAGACCAGCCCCCCTGCACGGAGCCCCACCCAGCCAGAGGCTGCCCTGCTCCCCACAGCGCCCCCTGCTGGGAGAGGCCAGAGCTGGGGTCACCGGAAGCTCCCCCCCAGACAGTGCTCCAGCCCCGCTCCCCAAAGCGCCCCCTGCTGGAAGAGGCCGGGGCTGGGGTCGCCAGGAGCTCCCCCCCAGCCAGTGCTCCAGCCCCGCTCCCCACAGCGCCCCCTGCGGGGGTTGCCAGGAGCTCCCCCCCAAGCCAGCAGCTTCCCCGTTCCCCACAGCGCCCTCTGCTGGGAGAGGCCTGGGCTGGGGTCGCCGGGAGCTCCCCCCACAGGTTTGCCCCTGCCCCCCACCCGCCCGGCGCCCTGGGCAGTGTCACCAGCAGCGGCAGGAAGGACTGCCCGTCCATGGCGGTCTGCGAGACGTTGAGGCCGGCGATGTCCAGGAACGTGGGCCCCAGGTCAATATTGAGTATCGGCTCCTAGGCAGGGGAGAGGGGCACAAATCACCATGAGTCCTGGGGCTGGTGGGGGGAGGGCGGGTCCTGGCCTGGTCCCTGCTCTGGTTCCAGCATGCCCGCCCACCCAGCTCCCACCCAGCCCAGCTCCGGCTGGCCTTGACTAGCAGGGGCTAACCCAGAGCAGGGCCGACAGGACCCAGGCGTCCTGGTTCCTGAGGTCAGGGCCGTGGGGACAGGGAGGGGACTCTGCCACTCCCTGGGCACATAAAGGACCCCCAAGGGGCACAGGAATCCAGATTTCCCATGAGCCTCGGTGGCAGCATTGCCCACCGGGAGGGGGGGCACCTACCAGTCGGGTCTGGTTCGCTTTGATGCCCGGCCCCCGCACCAGCAGCGGCACCCGGATGTCGAACTCGTACAGCTGGCGTTTATCGATGGGCAGCGAGAACTGGCCTGCAGGGAGGGCAGGGGTCAGCGCCAGCCCCCACCCAGGCAGCCCCCTCCCCCACTGCCTGCAGGGACCCCGCGGGGGGACCCAACCCACTAGGACCAAGGTCTCAGCTGCCCTGGCACTGGTGTGACACTGGGCTCTGGGGATGGAACCAGCGACCCCTAAAACCGGAGCCCCTCCGTGCTGAGCCCACAGGCCCGGCTCCAGGGCCCCCAGCCTGGGTCCAAGGCCAGGCCGCGCTGGAGGGAGCCCGGGTGCGGCGCTACCCTGCAGAGGGGTGGCCGGGGGCTCACCTGCATGGTAGCCATTGTCCGAGGTGTAGAAGACGTAGGTGCTGGCCAGCAGGTCCAGGGCCTTTAGTCGGCCCACCACCCTCTCCACCAGGTCGTCCACCGAGAGCAGAGTCTGCCACCTGCAGGCACACGGGGGTTAACGGCCCCAGCCCCTAGCCCCCAGCCAGAGACCTGTTCCCACACGGGCTGCTGCACCCCAGGCCAGGATCCCTCCCCCTCCGGCCACCAGCCAGCACTGCCCCCCCGGGTCAAAACCACCACCATGGGTCCCTCTGCCCTTAGAGCCACCAATCTCTGACCAGACCAGACCTGTGTCCTCCCGCCAGATATCCCAGCCCTGCCCATCCCAGCCCAGACCCCTAGGACCCCCGCCCCGGCTGGTACCCCCCAGCCCGTCCCAGATCAGACTAATGCAGTCTCTTCCATAAATCCTCACCCCCCGCCCCACAAGCCAGGCGGGGTCACCCATCCCTGGGCAGAAACCTGGGCCATCTCCTAACCCTCACCCAGGCCCTCTATAACCTCCCAGTCCCCTCCCCCAATGAGTCTCCCCACCCTGCCCCCTCCCAGCCAGCTCAGCTGCCTCCGGCTCTGACCTGTGCTGCACTGGGCTCCTTTTGACCCCCCGCGGGGTGCAGCCCCCTCACCTCTCCCTGTAGGCCTTGTCCAGGAACTCGATGGACGTGTTGGCCATGGGACTCCTGGCCTGTCTCACCAGCCAGTGCTTGTCCTGCAAGGAAGGGAGGGTTATGGGGGAAGCATCTCTGACTCCCCAGCCCGGGGCACAGCCTGGGAATGAGGCTCAAGTCCCCGCAGGGCCAGCTCAGCCCCCTTTCCCCCCATAACCTCATCTGCCCCGAGGGGCCATCACAGCGCAGGGGACTGCATGGCCGCGGTGTTGGGGGCAGGGCTGGAGAACAGAGCGTGGGCTCCTGGTGCCCAGCCCCGTGATCACACCACTAGCCCATGCCCCCCCGTGACAGCAGGCGTTTGCCCGATGGGGCATCGGCCACGCCAGAGGAGAGACCCACCCCCACCCCGGCCCAGCGTGGGATGGGCAGGGCTGTGGGAGGCTGGCACGGCGTGGCGGGCGCCTCGTCCCCACTCACCTTGCCATGGACGTTGAAACTGCCGTTGCGGGGTGCCTTGGTGGTGTTGTAGGCTGTGGCGTAGCCTGGCGCTGCGGTCCAAGGGGAGTGGGAGGCGGGCGGGGCTAGCACCATCAGGAAGGGTGGGTGGGACCACTTCTGCAGGAACTCCAGGCTCCGGTTGGTCTGCAGGCAGGAGGGCAGAGACCTCGCTGTGGGGGAGGGAGGACGGCACCCTGGGGGCTGGACAGACGGACCCACCCAGGGAGGGGATGGAGGTGGAGAGCTGTGGGCCAGTGGGGGCGGGGTGGAGCTGTGTGGGGAGGCTTGTGTCACCCCTCAGCACCCGCTCCAGCCAGGGATCAATGGGGTTCTGCGGAGGCCTCCCCCACCCCTACTGGGCAGCCATGAGAGGCGGGTGGGGTGGGGCAGGGCTGGGGAAGGGGGGTGGGAGGAGTGCGGGGGAGGGGGCGTTCCTAGGAAATGTCAAGTTTTGTCAAAAAGCTGAAATGGGGAATATTGCCCACGGGCGATGCCACCGCCGTGCCTCCTGGGAGCTGCAGTTCAGGCACCCGTCCTCCCCATGGGCTGGGCTCCCCGGTTGGACTACATCTCCCATGATGCACCACGGCCTCCTCTCTTGGCGAGGGGAGGTGGACATGGAGACTGTTGCATAGGCACGGTGCATCATGGGAGATGTAGTCCGAGAAGGATGGGTAATATGGGCAGCTCCGTCCGGTCCGCCCCTTCATGCACTGATCTGGCGCCTCCCTGGGGCAGCTGCACCCTTCTCACCTCCAGCCCGTTTACCCCTGTGTGGCCCTGTGCCCATGCCCCGCGCTGGCGGTCGCCCCCAAGGAGTTCACAGCCCCCGGCGCCGTGTTAGGCTCAACAAGCCCAGCTCTCTGGGCTCCCCTGCTAAGATCGGCTCCTCGCAGCCCTTCTCCACTCCCTCAGCCAGGATCCCCGTGCCGTTTTCATGCCCCCTCACCTTGGCGACTCGGTTATCCCCCGGTCAGCCCCACGCCCAGCTGAGGAGCCCCTGTTTGAAGCAGAAATCCTGGGTGGGAATGACAGCCCCCCGACCAGCCCCAGCTCCGAGCCCCTGCCGAGGTCAGCGTGGCAGCTTGGCCAGGCTGCCCAGCGGGCGCTGGGCAGAGACTCACAATGAGATCCGTGAGGTAGTCGTCCTGGTAGCGCTGCCCGTGCCGCTCCTCTCGCCCGTTCGCCGACAGGGTGTAGTTATAATAGCGGGAATTCCCTACCTGCAGGGCAGCCCAAGGGGTCAGCCGCACCCAGCCTACCTGCAGCCCCCACTCCTTCACCACCCAGTGGCCCTCGCCTTGCTGCGCCCCACCCGCCCATGCACCCTGGGGCGGGGAGACTAGCTCACCCCCCCATGCAACCATAGTGCGGCCACTTCTGGGGTGACGCATGGCAGCTGGTCTGACAGTGAGCACAGGGACGCCGCAGCGGGGCAGGAAGGAGAATCCTGGGCGGGGGGGGGGGGGGACACCAGAGAGGCACTTGCCCCTTCTCTCATCACCCTCCGCCCCCCCCCCCCCGGGTTCCGCCCACACCTTGTCACGCAGGCTGGGAGCTCTTCAGGGCAGAGAACAGATCTGGGCTAAGCCTCCGCAGCTTGGGCTCAGTCCTGGGTCCCCCCAATCCCGAGGTTACGGACACGGTCAACTGGGGTTTACAGCGACCTGGGGCCACCATCCACCTCCCCAGACTCGGAGCAGGAGCCCTGGCCAGGGTCCCCGCAAGGCCCAGCAATTCCCAGGCCTCCCCAGGTCAGAGCAAGCCGCGAGCCGCAGCCCGAAGGCTGCCAGGGGCAGAGCTGACACTCACCAGGCCGTTCCAGTAGCTCCAGCCCAGGGGCACATGCTGGACGCCCCCGGCCGCGGGCTGTCCGTACTGCAAAGGGGGAGAGGCCCCGGTTACACACGCTCACTGCTCAGAGGACAAAGGAAACCAAGCAAGCTCCTGTCTCTGCACACCCACCCCACCCCCCCAGCAGCAATGGAGAAGCCCCAGCAGCCAAGCACAGCCCGGGGCCATTGGCCTGCTGGTTCAATGTCCAGATAGTCCACCCAGACACCTCTATGGCCCCATCCACACAGCGTCCCTCGGCCTCCCAAAGGTGGATCCATTTACCCTCACGGCTCGGCTCATGAGGCAGGGCTGGGTCACTAGCCTCATGTTTCACGGGGGAAACTGAGGCAGAGAGGCCCGTGCTATGTGAGATCTTACACATGCGGTCAGCAGCAGAGCTGGGAGTAGAACCCAGGCGTCCTGACACCCCCTGCTCTAAACATTAGCCTGGCATGGAACCCAGTAGTCCTGGCTCCCACCCACTAAAGAGCCCTTGGGAGGCAGCCCTGATCCAGCGCCCAGCCCTGGGCTCATCCCTCTTGCTGCACAGCTCTCTCAGTTCGGCCTCCACCGGCCCCCCAGTCCCCTTGGACTGTCCGCTCAAAAGCCCCTGGCTGGCTCTCGCGGGGGCCGACTGGGGCCCTACACTGCGGCTGGACGATGGGAGGTGCCGGGGAGCTTCTGGCTGCTCCCTCTGCCCCAAATAGCAACATCCTGTTGGTACTGGGCCAGATCCTGAAATCAGTGGCAAAAATCCCATTGGCTCAGTGGCTGCAAGTCCCAGGCCGTTCAAACTGGAAAGTGGCCCCTGCCCTCCCCTGGAGCTGGGCCCTGGGATCCCCTGCCAGCCACCCGGGCTGCAGTGGGGAGGTGTTCCCCAGGGCATGGCCAGCCACAGCCCCTGCCGAGCCAGCCCCACCCGTAAGGGGCCCCGGTAACAGAGGTGGCAGGCGGCAAACTCCCCCCACCCCAAGGACTCTCCATCTCAAGCAGGCTCAGTCTAGGGTCTTCCAGCCCCCCTGCTCTAACCACTAGACTCCACTCCCCTAGCAGAGCTGGGGATAGAACCCAGGCGTCCTGGCTCCCAGCCCCCCTGCTCTGCCCACTAGCCCCACTCCCTGCCCAGGCATAGCACTCTGGCCATGGCCTGCCCTGTGTCACTCAGCGAGGTCTCTCGGCACCAGCAGGGGGTGCCCCGTTACCTGGTTGAGGTATTTGCCAGCGTAGAAGGTCTGGTAGCCCTGCCTCTGCAGGTAGCTGGGGAAGGCCAGTGGCTCCTGGTTCTTCTGCCAGGCCGGGCTGCTGCAGTTGCCCTCCAGGGAGTTGTTCCTCACCAGGTGGTTGTGGGGGTAGCGCCCGCTCAGGAGGCTGCTGCGGCTGGGGCAGCACAGGGGCGTGACTGTGAACTGGGCAAGAGACGAACGTTCAGCCCTGGCCCCCAGTGGTTCCCCCTACCCCAGGTCTTCAGGTGCATCCCTCGGCCCAGGAGGGGCGGCCTGTCCCCCGCTCCCCTTCCTGGCATCAGTGCCAGGCAGTGTTGGGCAAAGACTGTTGTCCTGGACACTTGGCTGAGGGCTGGCAGGCCCCACCCGGGTGCAGGCAGAGCAGTGGGCTCTGGTCAGGCAGCCAGGACACTCCTGGGCCTTGAAAAATGGGGGTGGGGGGAGTGAGTGGGGTCCCGGTAATCGGGCCATGAGGCACCCCCAGCCATGCAGCCACAGGGGACACCCCTCTCAGAGCCCCCCAGTGGCTCTGACTTCCAGTGCCAGGGAGCCCGTCTGCCCCCCCAGCGCTGTCTGGGCTCCCCCTTCCTGCGGTCTCAGCTTCTGGGGCAGCTCTCTGGCTCTGTCCCCGGCCAGTCCCCCTGCCCCGCACGGACAGGAGAGCAGAGGAAGAGCCATGTGTGGCCCGGCCGTGGCACATGCAGCGTGGCCCACGGGGGGGCCAGTTTGCCCAGTCTCCGGCGCGCGTGTCCCAGGCCAGTCCCCACAGCGCCGTGGCACTCACCGCATTGGGGAAGGAGACACCCGCTTGGCCGATCAGGGCTTGCGTCTTCTTCATTGGAGTCTGTAAGGAGACACATAACCAGTCACCAGCCGCGAACCCAACGTGGCAGGGACAGAACAACGCCCGCCCCTTCAGGGAGACAGGGAACATACGGACCAGTCCATACGGAGGCAAGAGAGGCATATAAAATAGTGGAAAGACTAGAGAAGGGGAATCAGATGCTCCCATCCCCCTCTTCCATAATAGCAGCACAGTTCATGAATCTATGAAATAACCTATGGGACTCACTGCTACTGGATATCATACAGGCCTCAAACTGTAGCTGGATTAAAAAAAAAAAAAGAATTAGCCATTCTCTTTGTCTGAACGACACTGATGACTTCGTTAGACAGAACACATCTTTACAAACCCGCATGCTTCAGGACATGTGCCAGCCACTAACTGCCAGGGGTCATAGAATCACAGAACTGGAAGGGACCTCAAGAGGTATCTAGTCTGCTCCCCGGCACTCATGGCAGGACTGAGTATTATCTAGACTAGACCATCCCTGACAGGTGTTTGTCCAACCTGCTCTTAAAAATCCCCACTGATGGGATTCCTCAACCTCCCAGGGCAATTTATTCCAGGGTTTAACCACCCTCACAGTTCGGAAGTTTTTCCTAATGTCCAACCTAAACCTCCCTTGCTGCAATTTAAGTCCATTGCTTCTTGTCCTGTCCACAGAGGTTAAGAACAATTTTTCTCCCTCCTCCTTGTAACAACCTTTTATGTACTTGAAAACTGTTATCATCTCCCCCCTCAGTCTTCTCCAGACTAAACAAACCCAATTTTTTCAATCTTCCCTCATAGGTCATGTTTTCTAGACCTTTAATAATTTTTGTTGCTCTTCTCTGGACTTTCTCTAATTTGTCCACATCTTTCCTGAAATGTGGCACCCAGAACTGGACACACTACTCCAGTTGAGGCCTAATCAGCGTGGAGTAGAGGGAAGAATTACTTCTCGTGTCTTGCTTACAACATTCCTGCTAATCCAGCCCAGAATGATGTTTGCTTTTTTTGCAGCAGCGTTACACTGTTGACTCATATTTAGCTTGTGATCCACTATGACCCCAGATCCCTTTCCGCAGTACTCCTTCCTAGGCAGTCATTTCCCATTTTGTGTGTGTGCAACTGATTGTTCCTTCTTAACTGGAGTACTTCGCATTTGTCCTTATTGAATTTCATCCTAATTACTTCGCACCATTTCTCCAGTTTGTCCAGATCATTTTGAATTTTTATCCTGTCCCCCAAAGCCCTGGCAACCCCTCCCAGCGTGGTCAGGAAGGAATTTACTCTACAAGAGGCTCCTTGGAGCTAGGCCAGATGGACCCTGGTCTGATTCACTGGAGTGATTCCTCTGGAGTTACCCTTTGCTCTGGAAAGTGTCACTTTGACTGTCAGTTGTTTAAGAACCTAGCATCACCCTCCCACCGCCGCATTGTGCTGTATAAAGAACAACTCTCAATAGAACATGGCAATTAGGATTAGCGATAAATGTGGAATCGTTAAAGGGGAAAGACCTTAAACCTGAGAGCTCTGAGACACCCCCAGGCATTTTGGAATGCTCAGGCTTTCCCTTGGCGTCTCTGTCTGCTACGCTCTGCCCCAGAGTTGGCTGCATTTCAGAGACGCTGCAGCTTAGTGTGTATCATTTGTGCTTTAGGAACCCTCATGATCTGTAGAGTTTAAGGCCAGACTTGGCTGGGCCCGTTGGTCATAGGCCAGACAACCTTACCCTGAGCCCCAAAACCTGTGTCTAACTAAAGCACATGTGGCTGACAGGTGGGTGCAACTGGGGCTGTTCTGCATCAGAGGATAACAACCTACTACTGCTACCAGCTAATTAGCAGCTAGCTCAAAGGGTAGATGCTTTACCACTGAGGGCCTGGGCTTTGACCTCCACTGAAATCCATGGCACAGGGGGGCTGACAGACCAGAGCAGAGAAAGACCCATCTGGAAAAGGGAATCTCCCTGTGACAAAGTGGGAATTTTTCATATTTTGCATGGATAGTGTATGTGCCTCAGTTTCCTCATGTGCTGCATGGTTACTAGGTGGTGGGAAAAGGTTGTTTGCAGAGATCCAGGCGTGACTGACCCCTGGCTGGCTGGGGCCTAGGCCCATGGAGAGCCCAAAAGGACAATGATCACTCCAATTCCCTGGACATTTGGTACCTAGCAACTAAGGCATGGACCGACACCCTCCCCCGCCCCCCCTGCAGGAAGCTAGCCGGGTGGGAGCAGCTGGAGAGCAAAGGGCTGCGGAGGGGCCAGGTGCGGGTGTTAAGTGCGGGGCTGCAGGAAGCAGGCGTCTCTCCTGGACTGGCACCAAGGAGGGGGCAGGCAGAGGGCTCTGGGCTGACCCTGCTGGACCAAGCTGTCACTTTCTGCTCCCTGTGCTAACCAAGGACTTTCTACCCCGTGTTCCAGACACCTAATAAACCTGACTGCTTCTACCACGCTGGCTGAGCGGGACCGCAGTCTAGGGAAGGTGGGGTGCAGTGCTCCCTTTGGGGGTACAAGTCTCCCTCAGATTCCAACCCATGGGACTCGACTCGCTGCAGGGAGCTCGTGTTGTGACCCAGGGGTGCTGACGGCTCCGGGGGTCGGTCCCAGGAGGCGGGGAAGCTGAGGGGCTGGCCCCAGTGAGAGTGTGACCGTGCGGGGGCTGACACATCAAGGGGATCCTGCAGCGACTGTTCCAGAGCCGTGGAGAGCTCCCCTGTGGAGCCGGAACACCTGGGAGGTGAGGGCCGGGGCTGATCTCTTGACCCCTCTGCTCAACCCAGCGTTTGCACAGTGGGAAGGGTGGGGGTTGCACAAGGCTGGCTCTGGAGGCGCGTGAGGAGGGCGATACTAAACAGCAGCTCTGAGGGCAGGGCGGGCTCAGACGCCAGCCTGGGCTAAATCCAGAGTCACTTCAGATTGACACCGGGATCCAGATCCGACTCTGAGATCCGACTTGGGCCCAGCCACTGTCCCCTGCCTGGTCCTTGGAGTGCAATTCCCCTCTCCCACTGGCTCTGCTCCATTGATTCCCAGGCTGTCACTTGTGATTCACCCCAAGGGCAGTGCACCAGAATCAGACCCTGGCCCCTGGGCTCGGAGCTGGACCCAGAGGGGCTGAGAGCGAGAGAGGAGGGGGGTGACTGCTGCTCCCCCAAGGCTGCTCTCCCCTGCTCTAACCCCCCAGCCCACACACCTGGCACCTCTGGATCGCACCCGGCGCCCACCAGCGGATCTCCACTAGCCAACCATGCTCCGGCACCGAGCCCCATGGGGCCACTCAGTGCAGGATCGGGGCCTCGGAGCAACGTGCATAAGGTGCCAAGCCGAGAGAATCGCATACAGGCCCCTACGTAACCCAGGCGTCACAGCCCTCTAGGACTAGAGATCGGGGGGCAGAGCCTCAGCTGGTGTCACCCAGCACAGCTCCAAGCTGAGGCTGCGGCCCCTGGTTGCCACATCCACCCTGCAGCGCCCAGGGCAGGATCGGTCCCTCCAGCACGTCCCCTCGCGCTCTGGCCTCCAGAGGTGTAGGCGGTGTTAAGGGGATGGAGCTGCCAGGCTGGAGCGGCAGTGAGGGCAGGCCAGCGCCTGAAGGGTTAACGTTCGATCTCCCGGCATAGAGGTGACCTGACACGCTGCGCCCCGGATCAACCACGCTCCCCGCAGCTCCCAGATGGGCTCTGGCTCAGCTGGACCCGGGGGAAGGCTCCCATCCCAGACGGCAGGACACCGGGTACTTCCCCTTGGAGTTCAGCTGGCTCGGCCCTGGTAGCCCAGGAGCAGAACCAGAAGTGGAAGGAGGAAGCGGCGCGTGTTGTGCTGCCTAGGTCACGAGTGAAAGGTTCCACCAACTGAGGGCGTTTACACCCCCCGAGCATATGGGAGCGGGGTCTAGTGCTTAGAGCAGGGGGTTGGGAGCCAGGACGCCTCGGTTCACAGCTCTTTCACTGACTTACTGTGCAAGTCCACGGCCAAGTCCCTCTTTGTGCCTCAGTTTCCCCTCTGTAACACAAGGATAACGATACTGACCCACCTTTGAGAGCCCCAGGTGGCAGCGTCCGGGTGAGGGGGCCAATGGCTAGGCACAAAGGGGGAGGGAGGGCGGACTCCAGGTGTGTTTGACTCAGGGGGCAATTTCCCACCCTCCAATGCCACAGAGCGCGAATTCCAGAAGCCTCTGTCGATGTTCCAGTGAACCCTGGAGTGGCTCTGCACTGCTAGCCCTGAACTGCTCACGGACATTCGATCATGGATTAGTGACCATCAGCTGCCTGCCAAGGGGAAACTGAGGCACATGGCGGGGAAGTGACTTGCCCAGGATTGCTCAGTGGCTGGGCTGGGATCAAACACCAGGTCTCTAGGGGGGCTGTGAGGTTAACCATGAGACCCGCCCTTCCCACCACGACGGTCGGACAGCCCCCTCCCTCCATCATGCCGAAGCTCCCAAGCATGCCAATGATGTTGTCATCAACCCTGCCCAGCTGCAGGATTTCCGTGCCTTCCCGGGGCAGACAGACCCCACCACGCGCCCACGCGGAGCACCGCGCTTTGGAGAGCGATTCAGACCCCACTTTTCTTCCAAACAGGGGCGGCCCCCTGCCCCCTCTCCCCGGGGTCGGCAGAGCTGCCAGCTCCGAGTTTGAACCGTCAGCTGCTTCGGGGTTAACCACGCGTTAAGTAAACCCTGTGCAGCTGCACAGAACGCGCCAAAGACCCCAGCTCCTGTCACACACCAGCAACTCGAAACAACCGCCAGGCTGGGACCGACCAGCGCCCTGACTGGGATTAGGACGGACACAGCCCCACTCTGGGAGACAGCCCCACCCTGAAGAGCTCACAGTCTGAACAGGTGAGAGGGGAAACCGAGCCGGGGCGGTGAAGTAACTTGCCCAAAGCCACTGGCAGAGGCAGGATTAGAACCCAGCTCTCCTGGCTCCAGGACAGTGCCCTGGCTAGGGGAAGTTTGGCACTATCTGGGTCAGTCCCACTGCGGTGGGGGTAGTAGGCGTGGCCAGGCGGCGGGCCAGGCAGTCCCACTGAGGCGGGGGTGGGCGGCGTGGCCAGGCGGCGGGCCAGGCAGTCCCATTGCGGCGGGGGTGGGCGGCGTGGCCGGGCGGCGGGCCAGGCAGTCCCACTGCGGCGGGGGTGGGCGGCGTGGCCGGGCGGCGGGCCAGGCAGTCCCACTGCGGCGGGGGTGGGCGGCGTGGCCGGGCGGGGGGCCAGGCAGTAGCATTGTGTGTTTACTGTGTCCCCAAGGGCCCATGACACGCCTAACCCATGGCGTGGCCATGCAGAGGGGCTGGGCCCCGATCGGTGCCCCCTGGGCCTGTGACGTGGGAGGAATGTGGCTCTATCTAGCATCGTGGATAGAACCGTGTCAGCTGCACCCCCAGTCTTAGCTCATAAGAGGGGTCCCACCAGCTCTCACAGGGGCCCAGAAGCCACTGATCCTTTGCAAAGGGGGGCGACTATGGGACCATGCCATGGCTGGGTGAGCAGTGCGACAGGGGCCGTGACACGGGGAGCACACGGGTGGGTCTGGCAGCATGGATGGGACCGTGGCATGTGTGACCATGTTACAGGGCCCGTGACATGGGGCGCACATGGGTGGCTCTGGCAGCGCAGCCCTGGTAACGGTGCCCGCGCCCTGTGGCCGGGGAGGGGCTGGTGGCCCCAGGCACTTACCATGCCCCCGATCTCCGTGTCCTGGTCATCGGTCAGGATCAGCACGATGTTGTGCGGGCTCCGCCGGCCCCCTCCTGCTGCGCCCCCCAGCACCAGCTGCCAGGCGGTGCTCAGCACCAGCAGGGCAGCCCAGCTCGCCGGGTGCCCCATGGCTGGGCTGCGCCCCGCTGGCTGCACGGCTCCGAGCCCCCTACCTCGAGCCCACTGCCCAGCCCCTGCCCCCGAGCCCTCTGCCCCCTGCCCAGCCCCCAGCGCACTTTCAGGAAGCGCAACTTTGCCGGTCATATGAGAGTTGCAATTGCACAAATCACCACATGCCCGGCCCCGCCCCCTGGCAAGCCCCGCCCAGGCCCCGCCCCTGACGGGGGAGGGGCGCAGGGGAAGCAGCGACCCGGGCTCGCACCCGGCACCCCCGGGAGCGTGGGCGTGGCTATATTTGCATAAGGGGCGCGGCTGCGCCCGGCCCTGACTCACGTGGGGCGGGGGCGCTTCCCCCTCAAGCTAACGCGGCGCTTATGAGTTGGGGAAGTTTGGCCGGGGGGGCTCACAGGACCCCTCCCCCCATAGAGTCCCCCATTGCTCCCAGCCCCTGCTCCAGCCCCCCCTAAACCTCCATGCAATCCCCCTCCCCCAGAGCTCCCCTTATAACCTCCCCCCAGCCCCATAACCTGCCTGTTCCCCACAGCCCCGGCCTGCCACTGCCCCCACTCCCTGACCCTGCTGAGCTTCCAGGGGGCCCTGCTGTTTGGGGGACCCTGTCACTGACCCCCACCCGTGTCCCCCCAGCTCCCTGCCTGGCCTGCCCGGCGTCCCGCTGGCCATGGCCCTGGTGCCCCTGAAGAGGAGGCGAAGGGCCCCGTCCCCACCGGCCGGGCCCCCGGACACTGGGCGCTTCCCCGCCGTGGTGCTGTGCCTGGTGGAGAAGCGGATGGGGGCCAGCCGCCGGGCCTTCCTCACCCAGCTGGCCCGGGCCAAGGGCTTCCGCGTGGACAGGGCCTACAGGTGAGAGGGATCAGCCGCCCTGGGCCGAGGGGGAGATGGGGCAACGCCCACAGACCCCAGAGCTGTTGCCAGCCCCCCCCACACTCCCCCCAGCCTCACCTCGTTGACCCCTTGCAGCCCTCTGTAGCCCAGGGAGAGTAGCTGGCCAGCCTGGGCAGGACAAGGCACCTGTGACTCCAAAGTCTGGTAAAGCCCATACGGGCCGGGTGGACCCGGCTACGCCCCTTCCCCCACTCACTCGTCGGTGTCACCCATCACCCCCCCTCTCCCAACCCAGGGTTCCTGGGGCCAAGAGGGGAGGTGAACCCTGATGGCGCCAGGCTTGGCCAGTGCCTCCCCTGGGCTGTGTGGGGTGACACGGGAGGGGGATGTGACCTGGTTGGGATACCAGATCTGGCACCTAATGGATCCAACTGAGTCTGGGCAAGGCACTGGTGGGTCCAGGTGGGTTGGATCCCCCTTAGCTGGTACTGAGAGGTGTTTGGAAAAACCTACTGGGTCTCTTCCCTCCCCATGAGATCCCAGGGCTGGGACAGCAGGGGCTGTGGGTCGGGAGTGAGGGGCACCAGCAGAGCTGTGGGGAGCCCAGGGCTGGGGTAAGTGGAGGGGAGAGCCATGCTCTGTCCTAGCCTGAGCCCCCCAGATTCATGTTGCTCCCCTGATTCCCTCCTGGGGTCCCAGCCTGACGTCCCCTCTCCTCCCTTTCTCCCCCGCCCGGTGGCGGCTCCCCAGCGCCGCAGTGACCCACGTGGTGTCGGAGCAGAACTCGGGGAATGAGGTGGCCCGGTGGCTGGAGCAGCAGCAGGAGGAGTGCGGTGCCGGGGGGGACCCCGCCCTGCTGGACATCAGCTGGTTCACGGAGAGCATGGGGGCCGGGCGGCCCGTGGAGATCGAGTCCCGGCACCGCCTCAGGGTGAGCTGGGCCGGGGGGGAGCCAGGGAATGGGGTAGGGGGATCCCATAGTGAGGGCACAGACGAGTAGCCCAGCAGGGGGCACTGCGGGGAGCAGGGCGCGGGCTGGTTATGAGGTGCTCCTGGCCCCTGAGCAGGAAGGGGAGATGGGAAATGCTGGGGGTTGGGCAGGGTGAGGGTCTCCTGGGTTCCTGGCACTGACCCCCCCCCCACTCCCCTCCCCAGGTGACTGCGCTGGCTCCGCTCGGGCAGCAGATGGCACCGTATGCCTGCCAACGCCGGACCCCGCTTCTCCACAGCAACCAGCCGCTGACGGTACAGGCTGCCCCCCGGGGCCGGGGAGGGGCTGGGACCCCAGGACTCCTGGGCGGTTGAGGGGGCACGTTCTAGGGGTGGGAGCTGGGGCAGTACGGGCAGGGGAGGCGGGAGTTGAAGCTGGGGGAGGGGATTAGTCCTGGGGGCGCTCAGAGGCACTTGGGGTTCCCCTGGCTGCCCAGGGGCTGAGCTCCAGTTCCCGGTGCCCAACGGGGGGTGATTCTGCTCTGTCCCAGGAGGCACTGGAGACCCTGGCGGAGGAGGCAGGTTTCAGCGGCAGCGAGGGGCGCAGCCTGGCGTTCACCAGGGCAGCCTCGGTGCTGAAGGCCCTGCCTGGCCAGCTCAGCGCCCTGGAGGAGCTGGGGCCTCTGCCTGGCATTGGGGAGCACTCCCGGCGGGTCATCCAGGTAACCCCCCCCACACACAGACTAGCTCCACAGGGCCCCCCCGGGAGCCAGGCCTGGGGGGTGGCCTGATCTGGGGGTACTGAACCTGAGAGAGCCAGAGAGATCCTGCAGCTCCCCTGCCATCCCTGCTCCCCCCAGCTCTGACAGTGCCCCTCAGCCCGGACCCGCAACCCCCTGCCATCCCAGCCCCTCCTCCCCAGTTCTGCCAGTGCCCCTCAACCCCGACCCGCAGCCCCCTGCCATCCCAGCTCCCCCCCAGCTCTGCCAGTGCCCCTCACCCCCGACCTGCAGCCCCCTGCTGTCCCAGGTCGGATTTGGCACCAGGGTGTCATGTCCTGCAGTGAGGGGCTGGGCTGAGGGCACGGCTCAGGCCCCATGGGAGGGGGCAGGCGCTGGGCTCAGGGCTGTCTCTCTCTCTCGGGCAGGATGTGCTGGAAGATGGCGTCTCAGTGGAGGTGGAGAGAGTGAAGCTGTCGGAGAGGTACCGGACTATGAAGGTACCAGAGCCTGGCGGGTCTCATGGGATGTGGGACCGGGTGCTGTTGGGGGGTGGCCTGGGGGCCTGGCACGGGGGCCTGGCTGCTGCCCCCTGCTGCTGGGAATGAGTGTCTGACGCCCCATGCTGCTCGTGCTCGGTGGGTGGGGCAGGGAGGGTGGGTTCTGACCCAGTGGGGCGTGGTGCCAGCCTGTGCCGCGGGGCTGGAGCTGGGGATGGGCTCGGACTCGGCAGCCCTCAGATTGATGCTGGAGTCGGAGTCTCCTGGCTCCATCGCGTTGCTTGCCCCCTGGAACCCTCTCCTGGCATCTCTATCACTCTCTCTAGGCTGCGTCGCCCTTCCCATCCCTGAGCTGTCTCATCCACCTGTGTGGAGCTTCGTTCCACCCTGTTGGCGCCGCTCTGCCAGCGCTGCCCACCCCGTCGTCCCGCGCAGGTTCCCCCTGAGCTCACACGCCTCTGCCCCCGGGAACCCTGGCTGGTCCAGCGGGGGCTGGGCTAGGTGATCTCTGGAGGCCCCAGCCCGGGGCAGCTGGGGCTCAGGTTCCCCTTCGATCCTGAGCTCCGAGTGCAGGGGATTGAGCTGGGGGCTGGCGTGGGGCACACACTGGGCTGGGCACACGCTGTGCCTGGCTTCAGATGTGGTGGTCACTGAGCTGGGATTCGGCGGCTGCTCCCTGCTGCCCTCTGGTGGCTGCTTTAACCTCCTGCTGGCTCCAGTGGATTTATGGGCCCTGGCCATGGTGTTGAAAAGGCTTAGACGGGTTCCCTCCTGTGGGTCAGCCATGACTAGACCCCATGGCGTGTCTATTTCAGCCTCTCGGTGAGGGACCTTCCCGGTACAGGCTGGAGCTATAAGGTGTTTGACAGGTTAATTATATGGTAGAGATGCCAGCTGAGCTGAAGGGGGATCCCCGTTAGCAGTATAGGGCCCAGGACACACACCTGAGCAATTACTAGATACATGAAACACTGCTGGGGAGCTGGCACTAGCTCCCAGGTCTCCCAGCTCCTCTGACTCGGTTTCCTGAGCTAACGGAGCGCTCCTACGGCTGCCACTGGTAGTAGCTGCTTTATCCTGGCTGCGAGTGCAGCCACTAGGGGGTGACATTGCACTGGTTCACGCACAGCCAGCACTACCTGGAACCGTCTGGCTCCTGTCTCCTCAGCTCTTCACCAAGATCTTCGGGGTTGGGGTGAGGACGGCCAGCCGGTGGTACCAGGAGGGGATCCGGACGCTCGTGGATCTGCAGGAGCGGAACACCAAACTGACCAGGCAGCAGCAGGCAGGTGAGGAACTGCGGGAGAAGCACCAGGACGGGCTGTGACATATCGAACGGGGGCTCTGCCCATAGGCCGCTGGACACGGACACACGCTGTGGGTCCCTCAGGCTTGTTCCTGGCCTGCACTGCCCGCCATTGTCCCACGAGCCCTCTGCGCCCTGGCCTGGAGTCTGCAGACCTGGGAGGGACGAGTCCCCTGGGGCAGGGAGACATGAGCCGGGCTGGACCTGGGGTGCGGCTAGTTCAGTATTTGGGGCCCCCAGTAGCTTTCCGTGGTGGCCGTTAGCTCCTGACGCGAGGCACTGACCCCGGCAGCCTCACAGCCAGCGCCGGAGCAGCCCATGCAGCGGGGTTTGGGGCAGACCTAAGGGAAGGGAACCTCGCACCCGTCTCCCGGCCGGTACCTCGTGCCCTGGAATCCTGAGCGACGGCCCCGGCGGTTCTCCTGCAGGGCTGCAGCACTATGAGGACCTCAACACCCCGGTGGAGCGTGGCGAGGCGGAGTCCATCGGCCGGATGGTGCAGGAGGCTGTGCAGCGGTTTCTGCCCGGAGCCTCGGTGACGCTGGCCGGCGGGTTCAGACGGTAACGGGCTGGGGGCCTGCTGCCTCCCAAGTGGCAATGGCAAAGAAAGAACCAATGTCAGGTCTCCCTGGGAGCATGCGCGTGTGCGCGGCCATGCTCTCCCCAGCATGCACAGCCTGTGTGTGGGGGGGATCCCAGCCCCAAAAAAGACAGGCCCCCACCTCTTAAACCCCCTGGGCACGGGAGATCCCTGCCGGCCCTGGGACGTACGGGGCCCCCGCTGGAGCTGACCTGGCTGCTGCTGGGCTGGGCTCTACGTGCCGCTGAGCGACCTTCCGTTTCTCCTCCGCAGGGGGAAGCCACGCGGCCACGACGTCGACTTGCTTCTCACGCATCCCGAGGCCGGCAGAGAGGCGGGGCTGCTGAGCCGCGTCGTCAGCTGGCTGGACAGCCAGGTGGGGGAGGGGCAGGATGTGGGGGTTCAGATGGGGGAGGGGGGGCGGGAGAGATCCCAGCTCTGGGAGGGGAGTGGGGGCTGGTGGTTAGAGGAGGGGAGGCTGGGAGCCAGGATGCCTGGGTACTCTCCCTGGCCCTGGGAGGGAAGAGTGGGGGCTGGTGGTTCGGGGTCGGCACTAGGCGGGTGGGGTGGGCGGCCCTGGAAATACCCCGTGTGCCCCACGCGGCTGAGGTGCTGTCTGTCTCTCTCCCCACCAGGGTTTGATACTCTATCAGCACAGCCAGGAGAACAGCTTCGCGCTCCACGAGGGCCCCGAGCCGCCCGGGGGCAGGGACGTCCTGGACCGATTTGAGAGGTGCTTCTCCATATTCCGCCTGGAGGTGCAGGGGCGCCCGGGTGCTGCCCGAGGCTGGAAGGCCGTCAGGGTGGACCTGGTCGTGGCTCCAGTCGGTCAGTTCCCGTTTGCTCTGCTCGGCTGGACCGGCTCCCGGGTAGGTGACTGGCCAGGGCAGGGGGAGCTGAGAGACATGGGCGAGGGCCGGACCTCCAGATCCAGGCATGGCAGGTGCCAGAGATGAGCCAGCCCCTACAGGGAAGGCTTTGGGTTCTAGATCCTAGCCCCGCTCCGGGGGGGGGGAGGGTTAGATTTGAGCCCGTCCCACCCTATGGCAGGGTCCTGGGGGCGGGTTTAGATCCCTGCCCCACCTGTGCTGAGCTCTGAATCCGGATCCAAGCAGCCCTTTCCAATGGGCCAAACGCCCCCTGAGTCCAGACGCCCCACGTGCAGGGGAGCGGAGATCTGAACCTGGGTCAGCGCTTCCCAGCTGGGTCTGAACCCTTGGGGCCCTGAACTCGGACTCTGAGTCCCTCGGCCTGCTGGAGCGACCGGTGCTAACTCCAGGCTCTGCGCCCTTCTCCCCAGCACTTCGAGCGCGAGCTCCGGCGCTTCGCCGGCCACGAGAGGAAGATGGTCCTGAACAGCCACACCCTGTACGACACCAGGCTGGTACGGCGCTGCGCGTGGGTGGGGACGTGGGGCTGAATGGACGGGGGTCTGGGGAAGCCTGGTCTGGGGTTTGATCCTGCCCCTGGTGGTGACGTGCCTGCAGAGACCCGGCCCCCATAGGAGCCCACCCCAAGGCAGGTGGTTGCACCCTTTGCTCTGCAGGAGGGATCCCCAGGCCCCCGCTACCCCTCCCGAGGGGCACCAAGGTGCTGGGCCCTATCTACAACCCCTGCATGCCCTGGCACTGCCCTCTCCCAGATGCCCACTCCCTGCCGGGCCTGGCATGAACCGACTCCCCAGGCATGGGCAGCCCAGCGATCGACAGGTCTGGATGGAGGGTCCTAGGCCTCGGGGAGCAGCGAAACCCACGGTCCCTCTCACCCGGTCCAAGGGGGCAGCACCTCCGGTACGCCCGGGGTAGCCCCAGCGCGGCTGAGCTGACAGCGTGGGAAGCACTGGCCCCAGGAAAGCGCGGGGTGCATGTGGTTTGGTGGATCCTCTGATGGTTGGGGACCCTCCAGCATGTGGAGGGGGAGAGTCATGTGGCCGGTCCTGCGTAGCTTGCAGCACGAGGGGGGTGACAGTGGCCATGGCCGGTGCTCGCCGGGACAGAGACAGATTCTGGCCCCCCCCAGGGGCTCTTGCTGGTGCTGGATGGCACCTGGAGCTTCCAGCTGCTCCCCACCCCCGACGTTCCCATTCATTAACTCTGCCCCCCTCACCCCTTGTTGCACCTCTGCAGCACCAGGGTCCTCGCCCTTCCCGGGGGGAAGCGGGGGCAGGGTCAGAATGACTGGAAGCACTGGAATGCGTTACTTAGGGAGGTGGTGGAGTCTCCTTCCTTGGAGGTTTTTAAGGCCCGGCTTGACAAAGCCCTGACTGGGATGATTTAGTTGGGAATTGGTCCTGCTTTGAGCAGGGGGTTGGACTAGATGACCTCTTGAGGTCCCTTCCAACCCTGATATTCTGTGATTCTATGACCCATTGGTCACAGAGGGAAGAGGGGGTGGAGCCACCCAAAGCTGCTGGTCTTTCTGCCCCCTCCTTCTTCCCCTCCCCCGCAGAATGATGCCAGCTGTTCCCCTCCCCCTGCCAAAATACTCCTATAGCTCGCAAAGGGTGGTGGGGCAGAGCTCTGCCTGCCTCCTGTAACCATCCTGATTGGCTGCCCTTCCCCAGGAGGTGGGGCAGTGGGGAAGGCAGCCAATCAGAATGGCTTTCCCTGCACAGTGCTGAACTCCCCTGGCACAGCCCCAGCGGCAATGAGGCACCGGGAGCCGGCGGCACATGGTGGCTCCGGGGTGGGACATTGGTGTGGGGGGCTGAGCAGTGCGGTAGCAGGGTCTGCATTAGCCCAGCTCCAGCTGCTGCGTAAAGAACCCCCCCGCCTGCCCTGCGAGCTGGGATCGCCCCGGGGAGCTGCTCTCAGCTCGGGCACTGGTTTCTTTCCTTCCAGAACCTCTTTCTACCTGCTGCATCCGAAGAAGAAATCTTCCAGCACCTGGGCCTGGAGTACGTGCCACCCACGCAGAGAAACGCCTGAGCCCGGGGCCTGGAGTACGTGCCCCCCCAGAGACCCTTCACTGCACAGGAATCCCCTCTCCAGCCCCGGAAACGCCCCTACTGCCACCCGTGCTGGCTGACTTGTGTGTTCCCTGAGTGACCCAAGGGCTGATCAATAAACCCCCGGCCCCGCGTTCCCCGCTCTCCTGGCTGGCTGGTTGCTTGGTTTGGGGGCGGGGAGCGCCAGCAGCTCTGCAGGTTGCGGTTCCTATCTGCCCCCCACCCACCCCCGCCAGCAGGGCTCTGTCTCCCTCCGTGGCAGCAGCAGAGGGATGGGGTCCCCTGGGGGTGAGGGTAGGGCCAGGCGGCTGGGTGCCCGGGTGAGAGGGGAGTCCAGGGGGCAGTCTGGGGGGACGGGGGGTTGAGTCCAGGGGGTGCATACAGCCGGGGCACAGCACACAGCTGGCTCCCACGGTGCAGGACGAGGACCCGCAGTGGTGCTATGGGGGTGCCCAGGCCCCCTTGCTGAGGAGTCGGACAGGCGGGGTGTGCCATGTTGCGTGCCAAGGCCCGGGAAGCTACGCTGGCATCTCGGTGTCTCCTGCCGGGGCCCAGCTGTCTGGGCTCCGTGCCAGGCATGCAGTGGGGTTATGAATATTTCATGGTGGTTCCCGCCATGACCTCACCACAAACTGCCCTTCCATCACACACAAGCCTTTCTCCTGGGGGGCTGTGTCTGCCCCCCAGGGTCTCCGCTGGGGTGAGCCAGGGTTCAGCGCCTCTTGCCAGCGCCACTCTGCGGGGGGCGGGGGGTGTTGGCGGGTCCCTGGGGCCTTCACCCCGCTGGGGGTGAGGGCGCAACCACACAGTCCCCACCCATGTCTTCAGGGTGTGAGGAGCCGAGTGGGAGTCAGGACTCCTGGGTTCCAGCCCTGGGAGATGGTATAGGCTGGGCGTGCGGAGGGGGGCTTCTGTCCCCACCCCTGGGGGGAGTGGGGTCCAGGGGTGGGATTGCACGTCCCTCCACTGCCCTGCGCCCCCTGGGGGCCTCTGATAGGCCCATGGGCCACTGGGCCTCAGCTCCCAGCTGTGCAGGGGAGTGAGCCAGGCGATCAGCGCTATCCATCCATGCCTCAGTTTCCCTGCCTGACACTGCTGAGGTGGGGGAGGTGCTCAGCCCCATGTGGCTGGGTAAGCGGCTGGCTGCCTCTCTGCCCCCCTCTGTGGCAGAAATGGCAGATAACGAAGTGTGAAAAGCATCACCTGCCAGCCGGCCTGGAAGCTGCTCGCCTGCATGACTGACGAGGTTGGAGGGTCCCAGCCGGCTCCTGGGACGTTTCCATTAGCGGGGTACAGGGCCCAGGCAGCAGCAGGAGCTCAGCAGAGCGGCAGCGAGCTGCGGCTGCCAGGTCGGGCGCAATCCGAGGGCAGCTGGTACGTAGCGGGGCCTGGGGGTAATTGCAGGGTGGGGGCTGGGCTTGCTGGGGAAGGCAATTTGTGCAGCGGGGGCGATCAGCAATGGGGGGGGGCACCTGGCTCACTCCTGTCCGTGCCGGGCCCACCCCGGCTGTGCCAGGCCGGCCTTCCCCGCTCAGTCAGGGATTGTCAGAGCAGGGCCACATCTGGGAGTTTCCTAGGTGGGGGAGGGGGCTCAGGAACCCAGTTCTTGGAGGGGCTGGTACCCTGTACACCCAGCCCCCCCCCCTCCATGGGCAGCCTCAGCCCCCTTCCTGCCCCATAGGCTGAATGAATGGAACCCCGCCCCCCCCAGGATCCTGCTATTTATGGGCGTGGGCCCCAAGTCCTTAGGCAAGGGCTGGCAGCTGGGCTGGGCACTCACACCCAGACTCAGGCAGTGCTGTGCCTAACCCCTAGAAGTGCTGGCACCCAGGGGACCCCTGAGCTGTGTGCCCAGGCAGCCCCCCATGTGTGGGGAGAGCTGGCACGTGGGCCAGAAAACCAGCTGCCTCTGCCAGCCAGGAGTGAAACGCAGGGGGACGGGGGACCTAGGCCCTGCCCCTCAGAGGTTTTTAGCTCTTGCTGGTCAGGGCCTCCAGGCAGCTGCCAGGCTGAGGGCGGTGCCCGTCTCTGCCCAGAGTTCTCAGCCAGAGCGAGCGATGCGCCATGTTGCAGCCAGGGCATCTCCTGGGACGTCAGCTGGGTTCGTGGCCCCGATCAGGGGCAAGGACTTGATCCCACGTGCCCCATGAGTGCCCGATTCCCGGGCCGTGGGCTCTGCGGTGGTGGGGAGCTCAGCTGCTCCTGCTGGCACCGTTCCGCTTTGTATAAATAATCAGCTGGTAGCTGGGCCAGGCTGGGAGGGTTCCCAGGCCGTGTCTGCACTCGGCACAGGACCATGCTCCCGTGGGTGTGGGAACAGGTCGCAGGGCTGAGGCGTGCTCCTAGGCAAGCCTATGGGGGTGGGCACTGGGTGGGGAGCACCTTCTGTGAGAGCCCCACCTCGGGGGTGCCTGGGCTCCTAGCAGCTCGTTGGCTGTGGGGCAGCCCTAGAACTCAGGCTCCTTTGCACATGCCGGCCAGTGGAGAGGTGCCAGCTGGGCAGGGGGTTGTCAGTGCCGATGGCGGATGCCCCTTGGCACTGTTGCGGGCCTGTCCCTGCCCCCCAGAGGGGAGATGCCACTAGCTGCAGCTTGGCAGGCCTTGGTCACATCCTGCTCCAAACAGGCCCCTGGCGTGGCCCTGGTCTGTCGCCAAGCCCAGCTCCTGTCCCCTCCCGGCATGACCCCTGCGGGAGGGGCTGTGGGGACACTGGGGATCAGAGCTGCGGGGGGGGCAGACAAACCAGCTTGCACTGCCTTGGCCCTGGGGTCAGTAACCCCCGGAGTAAGGCCCCTGGATGGCTCTGGGGGGATTCAGCCCAAGCTCTCCGCATAACTGAGCGGCTGGGAAGCGCTGGCGGTTCTGGCCCTAGAGGGGGGCAAAGAGCCACGAGCAGGCCTGGAGCCTGACATCCCACCCGGCCCGCCTGCCCCCCGGGGGTCTCCTGCAGCTGGGCTGGGCTCCGACTGGCTGCTTCCCAACTCGCACGAGCAAGAGGGCAGTGCTGGGATGGGGAGATGGGACAGAGCTCAGCAGGTGGGGGGCTGTGCCTGCTGTCCCCTGCCTGCCTGTGCCCCGGGGGGACCGACAGCTCCCTGCTGCCCACATTCAGCACTGGATGGCGCCGGGGGGAGTGAAAACAGGTCCAATGGATGACAGTTTCTGGGGGGCTTCAGGGGCTGTGGACAATTCTCTACCCGCTTGTCAGGGCAGCTGCCAACATGGAGGGGGCCGTGCTCTCGGAGTGTATCCATGCAGGGGGCTGGGGTTCCCGTCGCGGCTGCTCCCAGGAAATGGACCCATGGGTGCAGGGCAGGGCGGACGTGTGAGGGGCTGATAGTGGGCGCTGCTGCAGGAGAGCTGGGCCCGAGGCCTGCTTGAGGAGAGCAACAGGGAAAGGGGCAGGTGGGGCAGAAGGTGGGCTTGGGGGCAGAAGGCTTATGGGTCCAGGGCGGGCGTCAGGAGAGCTGAGCTGGCTGGGTGAGCTTCTCGGGGCAGTGCCCAGCACTGGGAGGGGTGGGGGGAGCACCTCATTCAGAGCCGCTACTGCACCAGGCCAAGGGGCTGAGCTGGAACTCGGGGGGGGGGGGGGGGGGAAGGGGGGGGGGGGGGGGGGGGGGGGGGCCAGACGGCAGAGGGGGGGGGGAAAGCGGGAGAGGGAATGAAGGGCGGGGCACTGCAGAGATTCTCTCAGCCTGACACAAATTTTTGAAGCCTCCCTTAATTATTTAGCGCCGGCTGCCCCCGGGGAGGGGGAGGGGGAGGTCAGTGGGTTGTGAACTCTGGGTGAACCTGAGCTACTGAATCTGTGTAATTGTGTCACACACACCCATGGGGGAGGGGGGAAAGAGCTGGCACATTTAAAGGGAAAGTGTCCCGCTTTGGCAGGCGGGTAGGATGGGCTGGCGGGGGGTGTGTGTTTGGGCCCATGTGCAATGCTCAGGCCACTCTTCATGGGTGGGGGGGCACGTCTAGGGCCCCTGAGGCTCAGGAGAGGGGCCAAGGGTGAACTCAGCCCCCTCCCCGCCCCACACACTCACCAGAGGATGGACCACACCTGGGCACTGGGCCTGGCACCCTCTGACCCTTGGCCTGCACTTGGCATCCCTGCATTAAAGTCTGGTGGTTACAGCACAGAACTGGGAGCCGGGATGCCTGGGTTCTATCCCCAGCACTGGAAGAGGAGTGGGTGCTAGTGGTTGGGGGGGGGCTGGGAGCCAGGACGCCTGGGTTCTATCCCTAGCTCTGACTTGCTGTGTGCTTTGGGGTAAGCAGGTAAGCAGCTATTTCTGCTGGCGAGGGGGCACATGATGGGTAGTCGGGGACATGGGGCTCTGAGTGTGGCAAGGGCGGGGCTGGGCATGGGCCATGCTAGGCGAGGGTACCCTGGGCTGGGAAAAGGGGGAGCTCCAGGGGTGGGGCTAGGGCAGTAACCCTCCCCCGCCCCGCCGCGCTCGGCTCCCGATGCAGCATGGGGGGGGGAGGCGGGGCCGGGGCGGTTCGGGGGCGGGGCCGGCGGGTTACAAAGACGCTGGCCCCGGCACCCCAGAGCAGCGCGGACTCCCGGGCTGCAGGAGCCGCCCCGCGGACGGGACTGGGTCCTAGCGGCGGGTCCCTCCCGGGGGTGGCTCGGCGGTGTCTCTTCGCGCCCGGACCAGCTCGTGAGTTGCAGCCCCCGGCCGGCCGGATCCCGCCCCGGCTCAGAGGGGAACCCCCGGTCCAGTTCCAAGCTGCCGCCTCCCCTGGGCTGGGATCCTCCTCGGACTGAGCGAAAGATACCTAGGGCAGCTGGGGAAACTGAGGCAGGGGCAGCTGGAAGCGGGGGCGCCGCAGTATGAGCGGCCCGGGCGGCTGGACCCGAACACGTGTTCGCAGGTGGCGTGTCCCCAGGACAGCGCCGGGACATCCCGGGGGGAGCCCCCGTGTGACAACCCGCTCGGGAACTGGGGGGGCCGTGGGGCAGGGAGGGACGGATATGGGGGGGCTGTAACCCATTTGCACTTGCTCCGGGGGGTCTGGCTCAGGCTGCCCGGGGCAGGCGGTTTTAGGTCA